AGCGACCGACGAACCTTTCAGCAAAAAACTGGCACCCTATCGATTCAGTATTCCGTGAAGTAGCATGAATTTAAATTCCAATGTTTTGGTATTACACATTCAAATAAACAGGTACGCAGTTAAGCTGTAATTTAGAGTTCTAAATGAGGGAAGACTAACCGCTTCAGTATAGTATAGCCCTAAATGAGGGAAGACTAACCGCTTCAGTATAGTATGGCCTAGTCTGGCATTTCGAGTGAATTTTGAGTGTCATCATTAGGTTTCTCAAAGGCGGAAATGAAATAACGCCCCAATGACTCATCAGTAGAGCCTTCGATTTGGCGCTTAGCGACCAGGATGTCCAGGTTTAAGTCCACCGGCTCTTAAAACCAGTAGTTGCATATAGTCAGCCAATGGGTGCTTATAAACCAGACCAAACCAGTCCTTTCAGCATTTTATACCAAATGCTTCTCGCCATGTCGCCATGCATACTCTCACCACCTTTCTGCTTTCAGGACACCCATCTGCTGGATTTGAGTGCTTTTACCATCGACGGTGGCCCTAAAATCACGACCTTCTCTATTGTACCAAACATTGGCGTCGAGGATCGATATTTGCGTGGCCAAATTTTTGAATTTCTACGTGCAAAGATTAACAAAATTGAACGTGCGCAACGTTCTTCAGACATCCTACCCTTCATAACGGTAGGTTCCACTTCTACAGGAAAATCTGTGGGTGTTAGGTGAATGACCCACATAGGTGAAACTCTGCCTCAAAAATACATGCGTTTTACTGCGATAGGTCCTTACTTCCCGTATAAAGGAAATTTTAATACTTTTATACATGCCTCTTAAAATGGTAGGTATTCGTGCGTTTTAATTTCAAACTCAGTTGAACTCATCGGTTGATGTGAAACTGAAAGGGGTCTCACTGTCCAGAAGAAACTAAGTGCAACCGGATTCCTCTACCTTTACAAATATGGTTTTATACTACAGGGCACTCAAAAAACGTCGTTTATCTTCTAAACACATTTGACAGTTCTTCTGCCTCTCTGTCTTAATACATTTTAAGGAGGCTATAAATAGTATAGTCCCGTAATTCTTCTG